CACCTACTTCAAGTGCAGGAAGGAAGGGCACCAAGTGGCCAAGTACTATTCTAAGACCCCAGTGAGGAAAAGTGACCACCCCATGACTGGGAAGCCAACTAAAACCATCCCAAGAGCAAAGGAAACCTTGTTGAAGAGTGGCAAGGTTGTAGAGTTCTGCCCGTACCCAAAATCAAGGGTGGGAACTCTGAGGAAGAGCCTAGGCTGTCCGAGAGTGACCTCGAAGATGATCCCTTGGTAAGTGAGCTGATTGAGCCAGTCACTTTAACCCTATTGATCCCCAGTTTGGGGAAGAGAGTAAAATTGACAACTCTGCTAGACTCGGGGTACACCAGATGCCTAGTGAGTCCAACCCTAGTGGGGACACTGGGGATTCACCTGAAGAGATTAGAAAACCCAATTATCTTTTGCCAGCTGGATAGATCAATTGTGTGTGTGTGGGGGGGGGTGAGCCAGCCTCCTTTGCCACTGAGCCCTTGGAATTAACCATGGGAGACCACAATGGGACTTTAGTATTTATTGTGGCACCCGGGATGGAGTGGCCATGGTCCTGGGTCTCACGTGGCTGAAGTGCTGGAACCCCCAAGTAGACTGGAAAGAGAGGACCTTAAGATTCCCATGGGGGTGACAGCACCAGACAAATTTGATGAAGAGCAGGGAGGTGGATCAAGAAGGGAAACTGCAGCCGCTATGAAACCCAAGCTGCCACAAGGCATCCCCCAAGAATACAGGGATGTAGCTGAGGTTTTCAGCGAAGAGAGTTCAAACAAGCTGCCTCCCCACTGGCCCACAGACTATGCTACTGAAATCCTTCCTGGGGCTAAGCTACCAAAGCCTAAGATGTATTCCATGACCCCCAGAGAGTTATAAGAGTTATGCACCTTTATAGACAAAAATCTAGCTCAAGGTTCATTCAATCAGCCAGACTGAAAGTGGCAGCCCCTGTTCTTTTCCAGGAAAAGAAAGATGGGTCTCTTTGCTTATGCATGGATTATAGGAGTCTTAATGCCATGTGCATGGAAAGTGTATACCCTCTTCCCCTCATGAAGGACATGTTAGCCCACCTGTCAAAAGGGAAGATTTTTTTCCAAGTTACACCTGCATGAGGCTTATTACCATGTTAGAATCAAGAAAGGGGACAAGTGGAAAACTGCATTCAATGGCCTGCTGGGATACTTCCAGTTTAATGTGCTGCCAGCTGTCTTCATGCAATTAATCAATGAGGTGTTGCATGAGCACCTCTATAAGGGGTTTTAGTTTACCTTGACGATCTACACTGAAACAAAAGAGGAGCACATAAAATTAGTCTGAGCAGTCTTAAACAAACTCCACGCAGCAAAGTTCTCTGCTAAACTGTCAAAGTGTGAATTTCATCAACAAAAAATAGACTATCTGTGCTATTGCATCTCCTATGAAATGGACCCAGAAAAACTTTGAGTCATACTCGACTGGGCTCCACCACACACAGTGGCAGCTACAGAGTTTTCTAGGTTTCACCAATTTCTACAGGCAGTTTATCCCAGCATTTGCCCAAATTGCTCTCCCCATCACCAATTTACCGAAGACAAAAATGGGGGGACAAACCCAGGCCGGAGCAGCCCTTAAAGTGGACGATGGAATGCCAAGTGGCATTTGAAAAGCTAAAAAGGCTTTTTTCCACTGAGCTGGTATTAAATCACCTGGACCCACAACAACCTTTTACGATCCAAGCAGAAGCCAATGATGTAGCAGTTGGCGCTCTCCTGCTCCAGGAAAATGTGCAGTGGAAGTTACAGCCATGCGCTCACACTTCAAAGAAACTGACAGACACATAGCAATGGTGGGCAGTTTGGGGGAAAGGATGCTTACGCTATCCGTTGGGCCCTTCTAACTTGGCACCATTTCTTGGAAGGGTGGAAAATCCCTTTCCAGGTTTGGACAGATCATAAAAACCTGGAAGCCCTCAAAACCCCATGGAAATTATCCCCTAAGGAAGTACACTGGGTCCAATACTTCCAATGCTTCAATTTCACCCCCAGATACCTCCCGGGGGAAAGAACTTTCTGGCTGATGCTCTGTCCTGACTGCCACAGTACAATAGCAATAGGCCAGATGCTCTGTCCTGACTGCCACAGTACAATAGCAATAGGCCAGAAATAGTCAAGCTGCTGCTCCCAGCATCCCACTAGTCACTAGAGTGATGACCAGAGCACAGGCGAAGGGAGACCTCCAAACAGACAATGCCATTACCCAAGCATTTAAGCAGGCCCTCATGAATGACGAGTGGTTCCAGAACCGTAAGAACTCTTGTCTAATGAAAGAGGGCTTACCATGGATGGGGGAGGAAGCTATATGTCCCAGAAAGCCAAAGGCTCAAGCTCATGCAATCTTGCCACGACTCAAACCTGGCTGGCCACTTCGGATTTGTGAAAATGCTACACCTGATAAAGAGGCAGTTTTGGTGGCCATCTCTCAAGAAGGACATTGAGAGCTATGTGGCAAGCTGTCCTGTCTGCATGGCAGCAAAAAGGCGGCAGGGAAAATCACCTGGCTTTTTGCAGAGGGTTGCTGAACCTTCAGCACCCTGGAAAAGATCAAAATGGATTTTATTGTTGAATTACCTGAGAGTGCAGGAAACACTGTCATTTGGGTGGTTACAGACCTGTTCTCCAAACAGGTCCTTTTCATCCCATGCCAGAAAATCCCCACAACTAAGGCCCTAGCAAAGATGTTTTTACACAACATATATTGCCTACATGGGGCCCCTTAAAGAATCATCTCTGACAGGGGGGTCCAATTCACTTCAAAATTCTGGAGAGCATTCCTAGCCCTCATCGGAACCGATCAGGGCCTGAATTCAAGTCACCATCCTCAAACTAAAGGTGGGATGGAATGTTCAAACTTGATTCTAGAACAATACCTCAGATGCTTCATCAATTATCAGCAGGATGATTGGACTGACCTATTGCCATTTGCAGAGGTGGCCTACAACAATGCAGTCCATTCCAGCACAGGGTTCACCCCCTTCAAAGTAGCCACTGGCCAGGACTTCAACCCCATGCCAGAGCTACCAGCAGAAGAACTCACAATACCCTCCCTTAAGGAGTGGATACAACAGTTGCAAAATACCTGGCCAGTTGTAAGAAAAGCATTAGAAGAGGCATGGGCAGCTTACAAAGCACAAACAGATAAAAAAAGAACAGAACCCAAGCCATATAAGGTCGGAGACAGGGTGTATTTATCTACTAAGTTCCTGTAATCCTTACAACCCTCTAAAAAGCTGGGACCAAAATTTATAGGACCCTTCCCTATCCTGGGAATCATAAACCCAGTCACAATAGAAGTCCAATTGCCAAAAACCCTAAGACAAGTACATCCAGTATTCCACTGCAGCCTCTTAAAGCCCAAAATAACCTCACACCTCAGATCTAAGACAGCTACACCACCACAACCCATTATGGTGGAGGGTGAGCAACATTTCAAAATTAAAGAAATACTTGATTCTAGGAAACATCTTGGAACAACCCAATACCTGGTTGCCTGAAAACACCTCCCATCCTCTGAAAATGAATGATCCACAAAAAACATATTCAAGCCCCTAAAACTATTGAAACGTTTTCATGACAGGTACCCAGATAATCCTCATTAATTATTTCCATTTGTATCTCTTTCCAGGTGGACCTCACCTTCTTCTAGGGGGCAGCATGTCAGGTCCCATAGACCCCTATTGCGACACTGCCATTCTGATGGGGAGGGGGCCCTGGATACTTTTTTACAACCCCTTTCCTGTTTCTGGCTATCCTGTCACTTTGATGTACCTGCTTGGGAAAGGGAGGGGGGAGGGGATTGCTTGGAGCCATCTGTTTTGCCTCCGCTCTGAAGGGACAATCAAAGGGCGCCTGAGAACAACTTTTACTCTAGTGGGTTTTTGAGCAGGAACTTCAGATCCTGCCTTGCTTTCCTTGATCACTTTACCTCAATAAAAGTTTCCTTTCGAAATAATGCCTGTTTCAAGAGTTCTGCTTTCTTGAGGAGAGAGGAGAGGCAAGTCCTTACACCAGGGAAGAAAAAAGTCTGATGCAAGCCCTTTGTGCTTAATGAGGAAACATTACTCATTAGAGCAAAAACAGGACTTCTCCTTCTTGCTTGCAATAAGGAATATAAACAAGTTATATATAATGAAACATTTTAAGCATTATGAAAGATAAAAGTAGTCCTACTTTTATAACTCTGAAAATCTTTTAAAATGTGTGAGACAATTACGAGGGGAAATGGTTCAGTTCGAGAATGCAAAAACATGGCAATCTTATATAGTTATTTGGATGTGTTTTAAGAATGAACACATATAAGATCAATTACTAAATCAGTAGATAATATGCTTTGTCTATTAATAGTCAAATTAAAATCATTGTGTATACATTCATATTTAACTGCCAAATCAATCAATCCATCAATCGATCAATCAATCAATCAATCCATCCATCCAAAGGGATCAGTTAAATATAATATAATGAATCATTTCAGCAATTCTATTATTATTAATAGAATTATTACTATTATTATATTAGGATTTATGGTTCATCACACAATCAGCCAGATGTTCAAACTGGATGTGGCTTTTTTGTCTACCTATCGATTTCTTTCCAAGGAACTGGAATAGACACAGATGTGGATACATGATGGTGTTACAGGATTGCAAGATGTAAACTGTTCTGAGTAAACCTGCCTTTTACAATTGATTGATGGTGAATTTGTCAATGCTAATGGTGTTCAAGTGGTGCCTCAGTAGTTTTGTGATTCCACCCAAAGTGCATATTACTATCGGTAATATCTTTGCTTTCTTTTGCCACAGTCATTCTATTTCTATCTGCAGGTCTTTGTATTGTTATCTTCTACCAATCTTATTTTGTTTTTGTTGTGCATTAGTTTTGATATTTTGTTCCTCACCCACTGTGAGATAGGCAGCTATATAAATCAATATAAGAAAAATAAATAAAAATATTCATGGATAATCTACTTACATTTAGTGCTACTGATATCTCTTCTGTACCTTCTTGAATGTTTTCTGTTGCCTTGATTTTGGATTCCAACTCATTCAACCATTTGTTTTCGATATCCAAATACAACAGAAGTTCATGCCAACATGCCCATACTTCCTGATAAATTAGTTTACAAAAAATAAACAATTAAGAACAGTTTTTTAAAAACAACCTAAAAGGCATTTTAGTTTTCCAAACAATGAAAAGTCATGAATGTAACGTTTGCACTACTTTACCTGGACAAATAATGTTACAAAATCTTTTCTATAACAAAAAAGGAAACTGCCAATCAAAACATTGACTGCCAATTAACAAATTCTCATAATTATGTATTTGCAAGAGTTTTAAAAAGAGATAATAGTTCTTTTATATTTAACCCATTATTTTCTATAGAGATTGTTGGCAGACGAGCTTATAGGCAGTCGTTGCTTAATTACTCTAATTGGAACCAGCAATGCTAAGTGAAGTGGTTGTTAAGTGGAAATCACATTATTACAATTGTACTTTCTGGCTGGAAAGAGACAAAAATTACTTGGTTTCACACTTTCAGTTTTTGTTTGCCTCCTACCCTATATTCTGCCCATTGGAATCCTCGAGTGGATGATTACTGTCTTGTACACAATGAAAAAAGTGCAATTGGCCATAAATCTGATGCTATGAGCCATGAGCACACTAGGCAAACAACTTGCAATATTCTCTTGAATGCCCCTCCTCTCCAAACTCTTCCCTCTGCAGAGAGGGAGGAGAATAGCAAGCAAATTCTATTGGCAATCTCTCCTTTTCTACTGCTGGCTTTTTGCTAAGCATATCAATACTCTTCTTGGAAAGAAATACTGATGATAAATGTATGGGAGGTTAAAATAGATTTACAGATATTGCTCAATTTATGACCATTAATTAAGCAACATTTTGAAGTTACAATAACACCAGGGGTGGGTTCTAAATTTTTTTACTACCGGTTCTGTGGGCGTGGCTTATTTTGTGGGTGTGGCTTGGTGGGGTAATGTAACTGGGTGGGTGTGGCCAACTTTTTTTTTTTTTTACTGTTAAAAGCATTTTTTCTACAACCTTAAGAGGTTGCAGAAAAAAATGCTTTTAGAAGCCTCTGACGATCAGGCAACTCAGCTGGGATCTCCAGAGGCTTTTAAAGGCATTTTTTTTTCTACAACTTCTTCGGCCAAAGAGGTTGCAGAAAAAAATGCTTTTAGAAGCCTCTGACGATCAGGCAACTCAGCTGGGATCGCCAGAGGCTTTTAAAGGCATTTTTTTTTCTACAACTTCTTCGGCCAAAGAGGTTGCAGAAAAAATGCTTTTAAAAGCCTCTGACAATCCCAGCTGAGCTGCATGATCATCAGAGGCTCTTTTTTTTTACTTTTAAAAGCATTTTTTGGCCGAAGAGGTTGTAGAAAAAATGCTTTTAAAAGTTAAAAAAAAAGCTTCTGATGAGGTGGGTGGGGTAAGGGAGCGGCGACCGGGCTGGGGACCGGTTCGGGGGCATGGCCAACCACTGTTATTACAGGTTCTCCAAACTACTAGAAATGTTTACTACCGGTTCTTGCGAACCGGTGTGAACCGGGAGCAACCCACCACTGAATGACACTGAAAAAAGTGACAAACAACCAGTCTACACACTTACATCAATCATAACAACTCTATGACCATGATTTGGGCACTTGGTAATCATTGGGCTTTTATGACAAAGGCAAGGAGTATATATGAATTGGACCTAACTACTCACCATATTATTTCATATGAATACTTATACCTCTTTGCAGTTTAATATTTTCCAAAAAAGGAGCTTAGATCAAACTCTGAAGGTTTTATTAGCTCTATATTTTCTCAAACTAACAAGGAGTAGGATATTGTCAGTGGAAGAAAAAGTCTAGAAACATTCTTATTTTAGTTTTAGAAAGAACCAACCTCCAGTGTTTTGCATTTTCCATTTAGCCTGCTGCATAGCCTCTGATAATTCTTAGTTAAAATGTCAAGTTCTTTTTTCAAAGCCTCATGAGCTGCACGTGGAGCCCTTACTATAAAATTGTTCACAGAATCAGTGAGAAGTTTTACTTTCACCTCTTTCTGTTGGGCCTCTTCTTTTGCTCTCTGAAACACAGAAATGTAGAAGAAATATTATACCAATAAAGTATTATACAAATAAAAAGGCAACAGCCAGGGTTTAAAAGAAATGCAGTCTAATCTCCTGAATTTGCTTGTAAAACCTTTACAGTCACAACTTGTGAGTTTGCTGGCTCATATAATAATGATCCTCCATCCTTGATGTCAGCCATATTTCAATTTCCACTTTAAATTTATTCAGCTGTCAGGTCAATAAGTCCAATAATTTTCCACACAATTTAGAAGTATAAAATAGTTGGGGTCAGCACCATAGTCTTTTTCATTCCACTAGCACTTTAAATCTTTTTCTTGTCGCGTAATCCAGTAGCTTTTACAATGTTGCAGCTTTAACTATCACTTTCACTAGTAAGTTTCGTTTTAACAGCCTTAAGCGCCATCTTTTTTTCCTTTTCATTTAAACGGAGTTAAAGTTTAATACTTGCATTTTCTGTTCTCCTGATTTTGCTCTGCCAGCGTCCAGGTTCAAATAATCCTTAAAATTTCTCTGCTGGTGTGGTTGTGACTCCTTGTTCTGCATAAAGCAGAATTGTCCCCGATCCGGAGCATTGAAGGGCTTTCAGGGAGCTCTCACCCTACAAACCCCAGGCTTAAAAAAAAAAAGCCTGGGGGTCTAGGGGAGCTCTACTCAGACCCTTCTGCTCTTCTCTCCCCCTTTTTCCCTGGGGGAGAGTTTCGAACCACTAGAACAGCTGATTTTCACTGTTCTAGCGGCAAATGGAATCATGGGGCTGGAGCTCCTAAAGGAGCGTCCATTCGGGGAACGCGGAGCCACCGGAAGTTGGTAAAATATTCAGCTTGATTACAGAGATTCTACCCAATAATGATAAGTGCTGTTTATTTCATCTTTGTAAGTCCTGTTTAATATCCCTCCAAAGATGGACGTAATTGTTTTGAAACGGTTTTCTATTTGTATTTGTCAACATAACCCCTAGATTTTTCACCTTTTTCTCAACCCTAAAACCTGACTTTTTGTTCAATATATCACTATCCTGAGAAGACATATTCTTGATCAGCATTGTTATTTTCTGTTTATTTATCTTAAAACCTACCAAGCCTCCAAACTCATTCAATTTCCTCATCAAATAATCTATATTGTTTTTTGGGTCCTGTAAAAATATAACCAGATCATCAGCAAATGCCATCAATATAGACATTTCTTTCTTAATATTTATATCCCTTATTTTATCATCTTGTCTAATACCTCTATTCAAAACTTCCAACGTCACAATAAACAACAGAGGGGACAAGAGGCATCCTTGTCTTGTACCCTTTTGAATTTCACATGAGTTAGTTAGATAACCATTTATGACAATTTTTGCATTCTGTGATGTGTAGATCACTTTAATTCCTTGGATAAAATTATCTCCAAAGTCCATTTCTTCCAACACCTTAAAGATAAAAACCCAATTTAGGTTGTCAGAGGCCTTCTCTGCATCTAAAAATATTAAGGCAGCCTGTTTCTCACTAGGATATTGTAAGTAATAATAATATTTAAGACAGTCCTCACATTATTTCTTAGCTGTCTTTTTGGCAGAAAGCCTGCTTGGTCTTCATGTATATATGTCTGTAAAATCTTCTTTAGTCTTTCTGCCAGAATGGCAATGAAAAGTTTGTAAACTTTGTTTAATAGTGAAATTGGTCTGTAATTCTTTGTCTTTGTAATATCTTGACCCTCCTTTGGGAGCAACACAATGTTGGCTTCTTTCCACATCTGGGGTGTATCCCCCCCCCGCCCCGTAGTATATCATTCATTGTATCATTTAGTGATTGAAGAAGTTCATCCTTGAAGCACTTATAGTATTGGCTTGTGAGACCATTTGGGCCTGGAGCTTTGCCTGGCATTTTTTAAAATGGCTTCTGATCAGTGGTGGGTTGCTACTGGTTCGCACTGGTTCAGGAGGACTGATAGTGATAAATTGGCGAGGGTCGCTGAACCGGTATTAATTGCTGGCTGGCCACGCCCCCGAACCGGTCCCCACCCCACCCAGTTACTTCCTTTTCCTCCTTACCACCCAGGCAGCTTGCCTGCCTAAGCTGCCTTCCCACGTGGTGCCTGCCCTGCGCTCCAACTGAGCTGCCGCCTCCTGCCTATAGGTAAGTCGCGCTACCCCCCCCCCAGAGCATGCTGCGCCACCCCCACCGGGCTCATGACCTTACCTTCCCCGCCCCATTTTGGCTCCCAGTGGCTGCAGGGAGGCTTGCTAAGGCCAAAATGGGGCATGAGGGGGGTGCCTAGCAAGACTCCCTGCAGCCCCCTAGAAGCAAAAATGGGCTGTGGGGGGGGGGCTTCAAGGGAAAAAGAAACAAAAAAATCCTCAGTTTTTAGGGAGATTCCCAGGTGCACTGAGCTTGAGTTGAGAGCTTATTGTAAGTCCTGCACTAGCTATCTTTGCTCAGGCTAAGCTACAAAACATTTTTCCTCACTGTTTGGGGATCCCCACATGCACTGAGCTTGAGTTGAGAGCTTATTGTTAAGTGGCTGGTAGCTATCCTTGCTCAGGCTAAGCTAATCAATAGTGGAGTTCTAAGAATGCCAGATGATCAATGGGCATGTTCTGAGTTTCAAAACATCTGGCTTTTCTTCCTCCTACCAAAGACCTTCTGGGGTTCTTCACAGGAAGGGAGAAAGGAGAAAGGGAGGAAGAATGAAAGAAAGAGAGAGGGAGGGAGGGAGGGAGGGAAGGGTAAACCCTTTTACTCACATTTCATCCTCACTATTTGGGGATCCCCACATGCACTGAGCTTGAGTTGAGAGTTTATTGTAATTGGCTGCTAGCTATCCTTGCTCAGGCTAAGCTAATCAATAGTGGAATTCTAAGAATGCCAGATGATCAATGGGCATGTTCTGAGTTTCAAAACGTTTGGCTTTTCTTCCTCATACCAAAGACCTTCTGGGGTTCTTCACAGAAAGGGAGAAAGGAGAAAGGGAGGGGGAGGGAGGGAGGGAGGGAGGGAGGGAGGGAGAGAGAGAGAGAGAGAGAGAGAGAGAGAGAGAGAGAGAGAAGAAAGAGACAAAGAAAGAAAAAGAAAAAGGAAGGGGGGGGAGAGAGAATGCAGGTATCGCTTAACAAAGGTTTGAACTTGCCTGAAATTAGATCAAGCCCTACATCACTTAACCCAATGTATCAGATTAAATTGTTATTGAATTATTTTTGGTATATATATTACATTCTCTTGTGTAATTTAGTTATAGTGTAAAACTAGTCTATTATGTCTCAAAATAAAAGGGAGATCAAAAATCCAATTAGTGCCATGTAAATTCTGGAATCCCCAAAGACCTTTCTCATTGTATTTATTAAACAAATTTATTTAGCTACCCAACTCATATACAGTGACTTTATCACTTTCGTGTTCCTTTCATGTAGTTCTCAATGTGTCAATCTCCTTGCTACTCTATTTCCTCCACCAAAATTCTATTATAAATAATATTACCACACATTACAGCTCTAATTTTGTGTATTTGTGCCAGTAATTTTCAGAAAAAGATTTATTCCTCTCTTACATAGTTATTTAGAAGTAGCTTCATATGTCAGTTTACTTTTACCATTAAAAAACATTTTGTTGCATTATATGACTGCAAAAGCCTTTTAGCAGTTTCATGTAACAGGAAATATCCAGTAACAATTTTGAAAGTAGTTGTCATAGCCACAAACACCCTCCCCCCAAAAAGACAGAGAAAGAGAGAGAAAGAAAGAAAGAGGAAGGAAGGGAGAGTGAGAGGAAAAAAACTCTGTGCTATTATTTTAAATTGTTCCATTATTTATCATGTGTTAATATTTTACACTGTCCCTACACCTAGAATGATTTTACTGCCTTTCTTTTGCCCAGGGCTACCACATATTTTTCAGAGATTTACATGCATTCAATGTCTATAGTCCAGAACATAAATATGTGTGTGTTTATTTTGTACATCAGGTTGCATAAATCCATCTTAATATGCTATTCCTGGTATGTGATGTTTTGTATACATACAGAGAAAGAAGCACTCATGTGATCTTTGACTTTTACAGTTGCTGTCAAACATCAGCCATAATACTAATTACTGTTTTGAACAATATGCACAAATGGCTATTTTATTTCTGAAATTATGACTGAAATATTTCTGCACTTATATTGGTTCTCACTGTGAGGAAGTTTCTCCTTAGTTTTAGGAGAAAAATTAACTTCTCTCTTTGTTCAGTTTCCATCCATTGCTTCTTGTTTTGCCTTCTGGTGCTTTGGAAAATACATTGCCTATACATTCTTTCCGGCAGCCCCTTAAAAACCTGTTGCCTATCACACTCTTGGGCAAAGCATGTGAGCTATTTCCTCCTTTCAGTGGTCCATGAAAGTACATCTATAGTATATAGATAATAAAGTTGAAAAAAGGTGAACAACATTTTTGCAGAACTATAGATACTTTGAGGCTGTGTGTGACAAGGAATGGCTGGGAGGGGAGGGGCCAGGAAAGGGACCCTTTGACGTGAGTGACATTGAGTTGGCCACATGACCATGAAGCCACTCCCACCATCACATGTCCAAGCCATGCCCACAAAATAAGCCATGCCCACAGAACCGGTAGTAAAAAAATTTAGAACCCATCCCTGCTTCTGATATCTCAAAGCAGTTATCGGGTTGTTCATAAGTTGTTTCTGGGGTTGTGATAGTTTAGGCAATTGTTGTCTTAAAAGATATTCATCTATTTTTGTCATATCTATCTCCTATCTTTTATACAAATTTGAGCAGAAATTATGAAGGGACTTTTTCATAAGTTCATTATCTGTTATTACATAATTGCCTTCACAAATTTTTCCAATCATTATCTTTTCCCTTTCTTTTCTTAATTTATATGCCCACCATCTACCTGGTTTATTTGCAAACTCAAAATGTTTTTGTTTTGCGTAGTTCAATTTTGTTTGTATTTCCTGTACTGTTCACATAGATAATTGTTGCCATAACAATTTGATATGGTGTACAATTTTAGGATC